GACATTATTACATGTCAAAAGTGGGTGGATATTGGAGTTGCATATGGTTCAACCTAATATTTCACTGAGAAATATAATACTAAAATTCCTTGCAAAAATGTGAATGGATTTTGAATCAAATTTAAATTTTCATGTCAATATCTAATTTGAAGAACATGTGCGTTAAGGAGCAGTTCCCACAGCTGGCCTGGATTCCACTGAAAGGCCCTATCAGCTCTAAATGGAGACAGGTATCCAAGACATGTGAAAATAGAGAAATAGAGTAGCCTGCTTGGAGATGTGTTGGCCTGGCCCCCTCACCAGCAACACCAAACATTCCCTTAGAGTACTACCTGCTGTGCTCTTTGGGAACCTGGGATGCAGACTCCTTCATTAGGACTAAGGTTTCATTGTCCATGATGATCTCCAGAGACCTCAGTTACCCCCTCCCCTTCAACAGTCCTGGGAGCTGAAAGATTCTTATCTTGCAATATACCCCTGGTCTGTTGTTCGGAGAACTCTGATTTGTGAAGAATACAGTACCACAGAAGATGAATCATCTTAGAAGTGTATATTAAACATACTTTCTGAAGTCACTTGGCAATAGGAATTTGTCATTAGTCTTCTCCCACTTCTGCCCCAAGACTATGTATCATTTATTGAAGGCTAGATCTCATTTTCTCTCTATGTAAAACTATCTCCCATCCTTTCATCTGTCCAAAGCCCCCCAAATCCTGCCTCTCTAGTCAATACGGGAAATAAATTTTACCTAGAGAAATGTATACTTCTTGGTCTCAACTACACCTGTTCAGACCTAATCTTTAAGACCTATCCTTATCTAAGTAAGAGAATGATGAATTGTCTTTCCTAGAATGAAAAGCCATTGATCATAGAAAAAATTCTGCTATTGCCCTGTTGTCAGTGTTTTTCTTTACATTACAAACAGGATCAAAAAGGAATTGAGGGCTTATTGAAACTCTGGAGCCAGCTGGGATGTCTGCCAATGTGGAGCTTTCCTTCCTGGCATTCTGTGTAATCATTGCATGTCAAAGATTTTTACAAGGCTGGAGGACAACCTGTTCTATTATGGAAGAAAGGAACTCAGCTGATATACAAAAAGTAATGTAATTCCTTTTTTAAAAAATGTACACACCTGAAATTTGTGTGTAAGTTTGAAACTAGCAACAATAATATATACAGTCTTGTTATTTCTAAAAATAAAGAATTTCTGTTCTCAAAAAGGCAGTTAGAGTCATACCATAGTTACTTTCTTCCCCCAAAAGTCAATTAATGTGCACTATACTAATTCATGAAACCTGTGATCTTAGCCTCAATATAATGCTGGGACTAAGAAGGTTTGTTCTCAGGCCAATTCTTTCATCTGTTATTGAAACACAACAAGGGCTTACTGCCTGACACACATAGAACCCAACCAATATTACAGCATCGAATTTTTGCAAAAAGAGCATTACTGAAGGTGAACCAACAAGGAGAGAGAGTCTTACTCTAATCTGTCTCCCCTATTGTTTCCAGTGAAAGAATTTAAGTAGCTCAGGATAAAGGGAAACAGAGGGCTGATTGGTTGTACCTAGGGGTCTTGGTCTTGGTAGGGTAGTCCGTGCAGATGGAACTTTTGGATAATTCTTGTCCCTCCTGCAACTACTGATGATATCCTGGGCTCTCAAGGTCATTTAGGTCATGTCCTATGGTTCTGTACTTTTGCCCTGAAAAAAAGCTTAGACAGATTTTAGGAGGAAGGAAGTTGCCATTTTATGGCTCTGTTTCATTATCTTGACATCTTGGGTAAGTTCCATTTCTCTGTGCCTTGAATTTCTCATCTCTGAATGAAGAATGACCCTGATAGCCCTGAGAAGAAGACTGAATGAAGTTGACATTGAAATGGTCCATTAGCACTCAGCAAATATTAAAGAGAGTAAACATGGAGACAGAAAATCCTGTGATAATGTTATTAAAATCAGGGCTCATCTACAAGGGAAATAATTATAAACACTGATTTCTCTCTCTCTTTCTCTCTCTCTCTCTCTCTCTCTCTCTCTCTCTCTCTCTCTCTCTCTCTCTCTCTCTCTCTCGTTAATCCAAAATCTTATCGTGGGAAATGTCCTAATCCATGTTTGAGTCATGCCCCTGTTAATAAGTACAGAGAAAAAGAAGTGGTTATTGGTTATGAATCATGAAAAAATCAGCTTGTGTGCCACTTTAGGAAACACTGATCTATGCACAATATTTTCAAACAACATGTGAAAGGAATGGACTCAAAGAATGGAAATATTTCTCTTTCACATATAACTGGACAAGTATCATGATCAAGTAGGAAGAATTATGTTTACAGTTTTATAAAAATTTCTTCTGATAGTTCTTAGTCTGCTGCTGCCATAGTAATTTTTGAGAATACTTAAGAGAGGAGAAAATAGAATCCAGTGAATTTATAACTGTCAGTTATTAAATACCTATTATGTCTTTTACACAGCATTAAGCACTTCAGCTATCTGACTTCATATAAGCTTAATAACACTGAGATAGATATTATTGGATCCATTTTACCTATGGCTCTTATTATCTAAATATATTCACAGCTAAGATTTAAAATCCAGTACGTCTAGACAAGGAACTGTTATTTCATGCTTTTCCCATTAGCAATTAATTATGAAGCTATTTCCTTCTGGAAAAGATATTTTCTTAGCTCTATAATGTATACTTTCAGTACTGTTTTTTAAAAGGCTTCATGAGAAATACACTAAAATTGAATGTTTCTGAAATTATAAGAAAGTGAATACATTTTAATTTTAGAAATGACTATATGGATTACTTAGATTGAAGTAACTAATGTCTTGTTTTAGACTTAGCTTTTTGTTGTTGTTGTTGTTTTGGTGGTACTGGGGTTTGGACTCAGGGCCTCATGCTTGCTAGGCAGGCACTTTTCCATTTGAACCACTCAGCCAGTCCTGTTTCATGTTGGGTGTTTTCGAGATAGGGTCTTAAGGACTATTTGCTTCGGCTGATACCTGCTTCCTGAGTATCTAGGATTACAGGAGTGAGCCACCAGCTCCCTGTTCTCAACTTAGGGCTTTCATGGCTTTTTTTTTTTAACAAAATGGAAATAACTCAAGAGAAAAATTGGATGTCAGAGGAGCATGTGCAAACACAAAGTAAAAAAGCCTGAAAGCAAACAAACAAACAGAAACCCTAGCAAACAAGCTGAAAACACACTTAAGCAATGGCCATTTCTAATGGGCTTTATTTGTAAGAATTAATTTTAAATTTTGGTTAGATATATTTTAAATTACAGACAAGATACAAACTCCTTTTGTTCATTCAAATGATACAGATATAAACAGAAAGTCAGTTACTCCCATCTCCCTCTTTCCCCTGAGTGAATAATTCTGATATTCTTTTTGCTACAGATTTTCTACATTTATATTAAAATATACAAATGTATAAAGATGGTATATAAGGATAAATTGTATTACAAATGATTTCACATTATTCAGCTATGTATGTTTTTGCTTAAACATAATGGGGAAGACATTGTCCTCTAAGACAATAATTCAGGTCTTAGTGATTCTCAATCCTTGCTGTACATTAGTATCATGAAGAGAACTTTAAAAAAGACAGTCAGGAATGGCCCACACCCCACCCATAGAAATTCCAGTTTAATTGGCCGGGTGGGGCCTTGGCACCACTAGCTGACTCTGATGCACAGCGAGCTAGAATCACTGATTTAAACAATCTAAATAGTCTGAGAATGTCAGCTGCATGCCTGTGGGTCCAGGTATGCACATGCCCAGAAAGGTCCTCCACTGAGGCTGCATCCATGCCGATCTGGGGTTGGGGGAAGTCAGGGAGGTCCATCCCATGTTTCAAGTATCTTCAGAAGACTGATTACCAGGTAGAAAATTGTTTTCATCATAAATCATGTTAGAAATAGTCATGCAACTGCAAAAAAGTGCAATGAGGGCAAGGAATTTCAGAGGCCACACAAGTGAAAGCCTGCTATATACTAAGACTGAGTTTACCCTGGAATTGACTAAGGGTTGAGAGATTTGCCCTTGCCTGCAGAAGGAGGCCTCCATCAGGCATTACAGGAAGCCACACCCAGATCTTGTTCCTCCCCTTATGGCAGAGGTACCTTTCTGTGGGTGCAAAAACTTGTTTGGTCTCTCTTGATTTGGGAGAGTGTTCAGGCCTCTGCAGCTCCCTGTGCCTGTTCTAATGAGTACTTCATTAACAGCCAAACATTTGCGTGATCATTTAGTTTTCTCACTCTTGCTGCAAGTTTGAGAGACATTTGAGAGAATGGAAGATAGAAGCACAAAGTGGTAGAGTTAGAAGTTATTCCACTTCTTATGTTTGAATGGCATAAAACAATAGGCAGCCAGTGAGTATTTGCTTTTGTACGGAATTATTCTGAAAGTTCTGTCTTTTCTAATAGCTGTTTTCCTTCTCAAAGCATTTAGGTGGTTAGAAGTTTTGAGAGACCAGAGAGGTGGTTGCAATTTATTTAGTCGTAATTTTTTTTTAAATGAGCCTTAAGCATATGGACCCTGGCAAATGGATGGACAAAGTCACATCACGTTGAGTAAAGGAAAAGAAGGGCATAGAGTGAGAAAAGAAGACCAAATCAGATCTGCGGTCTTTTTCTCAATTTCTTTTCTAGTTATAAAACTGTAACATTAATTTTCGGATTAATCTCTTCATCTTCTAAAAACATAATTGTCAAGCGTCTCAAGTCTAGGTAAATGAGTGAATTGTTTGACAGAATTACAGGAAATCAAGAATAGTACCGGCAGTCTGTACTACAAGGTGAAAGTCAGAGATGGCACTGTGTGGACTCCAGGTCACTGGGGCACCTGCGTCTGGCAGACCTCAGCTTGGACCAACAGCTGGAGCTGGGGACCGTGCAGCCGCCAGACTCCTCCCCCGCTACGTCACGGGGCGGGGCCGCGGGTGATTGGCGTTTCGCGGAAGCGGGGTGCTCCGGGGCCGGGAGGCCAGGAGGAGGAGGAGGTAGAGGAGGCGGAGGAGGACGCGAGGGAGAACTAGGTCGTAGGATCTCCAGGTGCGCCAGCGCTGGCTCTGGCCACTGAGTTTGGGAGCTGCCTGAGAAGTGGGGTTTTTGTTTGATTGTTTTTCCCAAAGCAAATGGCTGGTGTGGAAGCATAACTGGCCCCCACTCTTGGGGTCTGGGCTCGGCTCTTTTCTTGCATCCTGGGACTCGCGGTCGTCATGCGGTGATGTGTGCCCGGGAAGGAGTCGGTAAGCGGCGAGCAGCCTTTGCCTGTTCCCAGCCCTGCTTCCCTGCTGCCTCTGCCCTCCCCACCCCCCACCCGCTCCAGTTTGATGACATGACTCAAAACTAGACTTTTGGGCTGTTATTGGACTTAAAAATGGAGAAGCGATTGCACCACTTTCAGTTACTTGATTTCAGTAGGGAAATTATTTTATCTTTTCTGAAAGCCGGGTTTTGTAAAAGGATAAATCATTCTCTTCTCTTCTCTTCTCTCTTCTCTTCTCTTCTCTTCTCTTCTCTTCTCTCTTCTCTCTCTCTCTCTCTCTCTCTCTCTCCTCTCTTCTCTCTCTCTTTCTCTCTCTCTCTCACACACACGTTTGTCATTCCTTGTGAAATCCAGTAATTTAAAGACATTTTGGCTCTCTGCTCGCCCCCTCCTAAGGCTGAGGAAGAGGTAATTTAGACCAGCAAATAAACCACGAAATGATTCCTTAGGAAGAAAAAGGTATTTGTGTTGGAACTTGCTCTGAAACAGTTGTGAAAGGACTGCTACCCGCCCCCCCACCCCCCGCCAAGAAAAATCTTTCCCGCAAATAGTAACTTTGAAGAACTTAGTTGTTATTTGGGGCGCCCTTCATTTTACATTATGAAACATGTAGTTATATTTTACCATGTACAGTAGAGAGACGGGGGTTGTTTAATGAGTTCCTCTGGCTGGAGAATCTTATTGTTGACTTGGAAACATGTACTTTTAGAAAATACGCATTTAAATGATTCTTATTCATCAGAACATGTCAGCTCAGGAATGTCATCTAAATAAGATTAAAGGGTTTTTTTTTTTCTGACCTCTTTTCATGATAGCTCTTTGCAAGGAAGGGAACAATTTTATAGAGCAAGCTTCTGACTCTAATCAACCTTGAAACATGGGCCAACTAGAATAGAGGCTCCTTATCTACCGGTATTACTGAATCCACCTTTAAATTGGGCTAGATCACACTTCTGTGAAGAATGACATCATAAAAAAAAGAAAATCTTCGTTGACATGCAAAGAGCAAAAATGTAACAGATAAACATTGTAGCAGAGAAACACATTCAGTGCCCCAAGCTAGTCCTCAGGCTAAGCGCCCCAAAAGATAGTAACTGCTTCTTCTGGACTGTTTTCTATTGTCCTTACAAGTGCATCTTACTTACAAACATTGAAATAGTTTGGTTTTATCAAAATGAGATAATTCTGTATGCAATGAAAAAAAAGTAACAGTTCTAGAGCATTTAAAAATAACATTGCAACTGTTAACATTTGTTAAATTGTGTGAACAAATGGAAAAGTTAAGCAGTCTGAAGCAGGATGTGGGGAACATTTGACCTAATCTTAGCAAAAACTGAATACTATTCATACTTAGTGGCCAAACAATTGAATAGGATATTATTTATTTTGATATTGTCAGTTAAATGAAGAGAAATGCAAATATGACTGTAATTTATAACAGAATAGATGACTCATCTGTTAGACAAATGTACTTTTTAGAATCAGTTTTAAAAATTAAGAATTAAAAATGTCCACATACTAAAGCCTTCATTCCATGTTTTACTTATTGTCAGATTGTGTTGTAAATCATTTCTTTTTTCAAGTGAAGCCAAAAAATTTAAATGCTACAAGCAAGATGCCTTGGGGACTCTCAAAGCAAAAATGAGTACAAACTTAGTAGTTTGTTCAGTACTTAAGAAAAAAGAGTATTTATTAACTCTAGAAACAATGAGATGCATGCTGATACTGTCACCATATCTGGTTAATGGTTACAGCCACTGAGCAGCTCTCCTTATCAGTTAGCAGAGGATTGTTGTATTTTTTTTTTTAAAGAAAACATTGTTTGCTCTTCACTATCTTAGATGGATTTATTTATTTTTGGAAAATATTTTAGCCAGAGGAACAACACTTTTCATTGAGTTGTGGAGTGAATGGTAGTAGTGGTACTAATTTTGTAAAAGAGCTATAGCCTTAATGGAATTTACCTGTAAGGTGCTCAACGAAGGGTATATTACTACGACTATTTGAGGCAGTGATAGGGTAATAGCCTATAACGGTATATCCTATAGGTATATATTTATAGGCTATAATGGTATAGCCTATAAATGTTTATAGTTTTGACTCAGTAATTCTGGGTCTAGAAACATATTCTGAGAAAGTTGTATGAATTCTCATTACACTGTTATCTATGATATGAAAAAACATTCCAATAGCAAAGTATTCAAATAAATTAATGTTTTATGTATCTGTCTATTTAGATAAAAATCAGTTACCAATATATTTTTGAAAAAAAACTTGTGACTTGGACATATCCTTGTAATGTATTATGTTTCAAAAAGCAAGCTTTAGTAGTATGTTGTATTGAATGTGTAAAATACAGTTTTGAAATAAATATATGTAAGATTCATTTGCTCAGTATGTTAAGCTTTCACTGTGCATCAGGAATTATTCTAAATTAAAACATTGAATAACACTGAACACAGTTATTCATGTTTGCATTATAGGGTCCTTTTGCATCAATGGGTCTATCCACTAATATATCATATTCCAAAGCACCACACATACATACATTTCTAGGAGGTAGAGTTATAGCTTTGATTATTTTAAAAATATTTTTCTGATATTTCCAAACTTTCTATACCAACTATTACTTTTATAATTACAAAAATACCATTTAAAAATATTCCTAAGAAATACCATGAACAAAATCAAAAGACAAATGCTAGGCTTTGTATTTTACATGCCAGGATCCTTTTGTAAAGCATATTACTAACCCAGTGCTTTTATAATATTTCATGGCTGTAATATTGTATGGTCTGCCCTCCGCCCCAATTCTTTTGTTGATTCCTAATCACCGGTGTGATACTATTAAGATGCAGGGCCTTTAGGAGGTGATTAGATCGTGGGGGTGAAGCCTTCATGAATGGGATTAGTGCCCTTATAAAAGAGGCCTAGAAAGCTGTCTTGCCCATTCTATCATGTGACAACATATGGAGAAGGCAATCTTGGACTTCCCAGCCTCTTGAACGACAAGAAGTGAGTCTCTGTTTTTTATAAGCCTCCCAGATTATACTAATTTGTTATAGCAACCCAAATGGACTAAGACAGAGCCAGATGATCTTAACCACTATAAAAATAAATGAAAAACAGACATAAATGGACAATTTACAAAATGGATTGTGTAAGGTTGGGGGAGGGAGAAGTGTTAACCTCCCAATAATCAAAGAATCTCAGTATAATAAGTTATCATATTTTCATGTATCATATCAACACACGTGGAAAGCAAATCACAAAGGGTGAGGTTGCTGGGAAGACTTGTAATATGGAGAAAATGTCCTTGACGTGAGAAATGAAAAAAAAGTTACAAAATGATATTCTGAAAAAAAATCACAGAAATGTTTTGGTGAGGAATAAAGCAAATGTTAACAGTGCTTATGTTGGGTGGTGAGAGTTCTATTACTCTTATAGTACCATTTCTATAGTGACAATATATTCACTATATATATTTACTAGTAGGAAAAAGTCACTCTCTTAATAATGCAATTTGTCCTAGAATGTATAACACATAGATGACATTGTCTATCCCCTCATTTGTGGAGTTCCTACAGTCTCCCATGTTATATACAATTTTATGCTAAGTACTGTTGCTTCTGAATTGTTTTTTGGTACGAACATTGGGATTAGAAAGGAAACCATAAGGCAAAGCTTAATTCTACTTACATTCTCTCTTCTGCTCCCTGCTGTTTTCTGAAGTGAGAGGCAGTGTTGGACTGACTGGACCTTTACTTCCTTTTCATTTCCTGTTGATCACATCTGCTAGGATCTGATACTAATAGGCTTTAATTAAATATTCCTTTACTTGTCTTTCCAAGTCTACTAATTCAATTTAAGATTATTTTTGGGTGAGAAAGATGAGTAAAACTGTATTTTTCTTAATAAAACAAACTAACTTTCAGCTCTAGCTATATGCAGGATTGATAAAATTTATAATTTTCTTGATTATGAGAAAGTAAGTGAATTTTGGACAGTTCCAAATGTTGTGAATCTTTTCTTCAGTTTATGGTACTCAGTAGCATAGTATGATTTCACAATACTCTAATTTCCTTTAACTAGACTATAAAATATACATAGTTTAAAAATACATAGAAGGTTATAGTTAAAAATCTTAGTTATAATATCCTTTTTCTTCACCTAAAACTTTCCTAGAGAGGTGTTCTCAGATATTTTCATCACAGATTCTACTCACCTGTGATGTCCTTTGTTAAGGAATACACATTTCTACTTTGCCCAAGAAGAAAAATGCCTGAATCTGGAGCATTATTTTAAGATTCCCAAACCAAGGACAAAGAAAAAAGTGAAATGTGTTTAATGGAGCAAAGTAACTTTAAAAAATAATTTTTATTTTGAATATCAGACTGGCTTTCCTCTTCCAAATTGTCATGTTTCATTTGAGCCAGGCTGTGAGAGAGTCTCATGTTCCCAGATGTCCAGTCTATCACATAGTATTTTGCCTGCTTCATTTGGATCAGGATCAGGATGGATGGGTTGAGGATGGGAATGCGTGGATAAAAGGAGAGTGGTGGAAAGGGTCACATCAACTATGATATATTGTCAAAACCTTTGTAAATGCTACAATATACAACACAATAATAATTTTTTAAAAAGATACTTAGTTTTAAGGGTATAGTATTAGTAACAGCCAGAAGATAGGCGTAGAGCTAGAAGAGAGAGTGTATGATACAGCAAAGATAGAGGAAATGTGGCTCAGGGTGAGTTGTGTGGTATTGCCATTGGTGCTACGCTTGTCACAGATGTGTGATCAAAGGTGCCTGTAGAAGTCTGTAATGATTGGCTCCTTGTGAGGTTATTGGTAAACTATGTTCTAAAGTACATAAGTTAGTTTTGCAGATATCTCCCTCCCCCCATTCCAGTGTATCCTTTTGCCAAGAAATGTATATGTCCACATTAATCACACTATTCTCAGATAACTTCAGTGATTCC